AGTCTGATGAAACACCGATTAAATCAAACCGTGGTCCAGCTTTCAGTACCTCTGTTATAAGTATCCAATGGTCAGACTTACTGGAGTTTAGTCTGATGAAACACCGATTAAATCAAACCGTGGTCCAGCTTTCAGTACCTCTGTTACAAGTATCGAATGGTCAGACTTACTGGAGTTTAGTCTGATGAAACACCGATTAAATCAAACCGTGGTCCAGCTTTCAGTACCTCTGTTACAAGTATCGAATGGTCAGACTTACTGGAGTTTAGTCTGCTGAAACACCGATAAATCAAACTGTGACCCAGCTTTCAGTACATCTGTTATAAGTATCCAATGGTCAGACTTACTGGAGTTTAGTCTGATGAAACACCGATAAATCAAACCGTGGCCCAGCTTTCAGTACATCTGTTATAAGTATCCAATGGTCAGATTTTTGTAGTTCAATCTTCACTCCAAATATTACCACCATAGCTTCGACTAAGTGATAAAATGAAAGAGAGAAATATACAGTACCATACTGGTCATACCACAAGGTATGACAGCAGGTCCTTCAAAATATCCTGACAGTTAGTGAAAGTAACCAGAAGATCAAGATATCACTACCGAAACCCAAAACATTGAAAGATGATAATGACAGTTTCTGAGGGTCTTAACTCGTCAGTTAGTATAGAATAACGATTCTAACTTTGTTATATTTGCCAATTACATAAAGCCAAGAGAAGCAGTAAAAGGGGGTTGAAATGTACTTAGAAATCTGACAGTTTTTTATTCAAATATGAACATGAAGATTAAAATAAAAATTTAGTTAAAATATTGAATTTCAACCACTAAAGATTTTTCTTCTTCTCCATGACGCGAGATGGAGTAACCAACGTCCATAACTACAGAATTTATCGACAAGCATAACAAACAATAAAATTCCTTTCAAGTAAACGTAACTTCCTCTAGATGGCACCATACGGTTGACACTATAAATGAGATGGTGTTATGTTGTTAAGCTCACGTCCGGGTAGTGAAAGTGGGTTTTTCTCGGGGAACTCCCGTTTTTCTCCCACATCAATATTAAAGGTATTTGGATCTATCGATCCCCACCCAAAGTTGTGCTTCTCCCAGAATATAATAAAATGGAAAGAGGGCCCCCATCATGTCATGTCTAACAGTGCTATCCAGTGGTGTTGAAGTACTTTTGTCATACTGACCTCCCCTCTTTCGTTCTTTTTTTTAGGAGCTAAGACAATATAACAACAGTTTTTAAGCTTTTACCCCATCGTGAGTAGTTTCAATTATTAGCTAATCTGGTTATGTTATATGAGGGGGAAGAGAAGTTCCCCCTCATTCTGAACATCCCCGATTACATTTGATCTTGAACTGTTTTTGAGTTTAAGGTCGAATGGTTTAATGGCAAGACAGAGAATGTTAAGGGCAAAGCATAATAGGCTATCTGTGTTCTGCCTATTACAGGTTTTTACTCAATTTTTAACACTGTAAGCACGCAGATTTACCGCTAAGCCATTGCAGATATAAATGAGATAAGAGCAGAACTTTGTTATAAAGCAACAAAAAGTTACTGTCTGTGAACCAATGAAGCAAATTTATTTGCGTGGAAAAAAACAACTGTGATTAAATACATTTTAAAATTTGGATTTAAGAAAACGTGATTCAATCTGCTTTGTACTTTAAAAGGAAAGATACTTCCCCCTTTAAAATAATCTTTTACTTTTGGTGTGTTTATAAACATAAGTATCCGTGCATTGCACTTTTTTTTATCAAAGTTTTTGGCTTTCATTAGTTATTGGTGTTCCTTGATTAATGATTGTACAAACTGAGCCAAAATGTCACAATCGGGTAGCCATAATATATACACACACACATATATAAATATATTTTTGATGGCGTTTTTTTAAAATTATTTTGATTAATAAAGAAGAAGTAAGCAAATTCAAATCCATTTAATCAAAATAGAGAATGTTTTATTTAACGAACTTGGCGTTTTGCAGATTATACGATTTTATGAACTAACTATAAGTCTAGATTCACAAATAAACAGTGTCACTCTAATTTACTCTCATACTTATGGTACTTCTCCTGTCTCTACTCGTCGAAACACAAATTCCACAATCCCAAAACTGATATAATAAACGAAATCGATAACTCGGTAATCAAATCACCCATTGTAACAGCCATTAATTTAATCAAAATCTCGGTAATCAAATCACCCATTGTAATAGCCATTAATTTAATCAAAATCTCGGTAATCAAATCACCCATTGTAATAGCCATTAATTTAATCAAAATCTCGGTAATCAAATCACCCATTGTAACTGCCATT